CGACGTTCCCACTTGCTTCTCGTTCCTGGCTCAACTCCGTCTGTAGTTCCCCAGGCGCTGGTCGGGCCCGGCGAGTCGTCTCATCTGACCCACGCACCTCTCGAACCTGCGGACCACCCGCTCGATCTCCAGGCGAAACCTCGGCCACCTGCATGCCACGAACGAACGAACCGATCCTTTCGACCAGACCACGAGGAGTCGTCGATTCTGAGCCCTATCGTAACCGTTCGCCATCGCCGCCTCCATGTGGCGTCGACTCCCCAAGCAAACCGTGGCGGCGAGATACATGCAAGCCCGGTTTCAAAGGAGCACGCGGATGGTCGTCCTCCGAGTCGTCTGACATGCCCACCTCTTGATCAGGAGGCGTAGCTGGCAGGCCGCCCTGACCTCCCGACTCCCTTTCAGAGCACTCTCCTCCCGCGAACCCAACAGGACCACTGATCGATGTTCCAGGTCCGACGTCCACGGCACTGACAGAGGTACCAGATTTCGCCCAGATCTCGAGGAAGTCTGTGACGTGAAAGACCTCGTCGTGCCCCGACGCTAGCGGGAGAAAGTGAGGCAAAGACATCGCACGACGGCCGTACCCGCCGAACATCCTCCCGACAACCTTGCATCCCTTTGCGATGCCGTCGACAAAACCATCACTTCTGTAATGCTTCGTCAACGTAAACTTGAAATTGAATTCGCCATCGTCGACCCACTGGACGATGGACCCTGCGAGACGCGTTCTGTCGGCGCGAACGGCGACGAACAAGAGCGGCCCGCACGGTGGTTGCAACGGGTGGGAGCCGTCCTGACTCGCCCACTCGTTTCCCTTGCCGGCGGCGACGTCGTCCCTCGACGCTCCTCTCCGTGCGGGGCGGAACCACCAACGGAGCGGCTTCGTCCGTGTGTAGCCATTCCCTGAAACACACGGAGGAAATGAACCCACATGCACTCAGAACGGTCAGCACGTCCCAACATCAACCACGACCCACAACACGTATTCTGTCATTGGTCACCCGGACTCCAAAAGAACGAAGTTCAGTCATAGTTAGACGACAGTGGTCCACAAGCCTGGACGTTTCGGATGAATCCGAGGCATCGTGAGCCATCCTCGTCACACTGCCCTTAAGAGAATGAATGGTCGAAAACGAAGACCGTGGGATAGATCGGATTCATCCGAAGCAGGCGCAGTCGAAAAACCGATGTCGCATAGGCACCTGCACCGGGAAAAGCAACACCTCGCAAGAAGGCCCTAGAACGCTGATACACCAGACGAAGACGAATACGTTGTCATCCGAAGTCGACAAGTGGATTTTAAAGTCCGCCGTTGTAGTTCGGTTGAATCCGAGCTACAAAGCGGTGTGGACCTCCCCCTGTCGACCCGTACGAAACCGAACTCGAGTTTTCTTGTCCTTCTGAGTCGGTAACGGTTGTGACTCGGATGCATCCGAATTCGAACAGCGCAATCCAGAGACGGTCGTCCGCAAGAGGTCATCTACAACACGTGTTTTTGTCAGCGACCTGCGAGCACTGGGTTAACCCTATCCTGCCGGAGGTTCGGTTCAGTTGAACCTGAACCTCGCAAATGTGGCTCGGATTAATCCGAGACGGGGACCGACGGATGGACCCAACGGTCTGTTGACGCCCATCCAGCCATCCAAGCTTCCGTTATTCCCCAGCTGTCACCGGGTCCAACCGAATTTCGCACGATGTGTCTTCGTCCATGAGTGTTTAAGCCGGGTGTGGCTCGGATTCATCTGATTTCGACAGAGGCTGTCCCGATACGTGCGACCACGACAGGCTGCGCCGACACCGTGTGCTTTCGACGTACAAGTTTATCAGAACGTGCGACATCGTCAATACCCTCTGCGCATGTGGTTCGGATTAATCCGACTTCGCCGAGACGCTTCGCTTTGTTGTAGCCCCACCACACACCGGACCTCCCCACGATTGCCGTAGTGTGTCATTATAATATGTGCGTCATCACGGGGGATATCGTCGTCGTCGTAAGTTTTAGTTGGTTGTTGCTCGCCCAATCCAAACAACAGACACATTTGCTGTAGTCGCAACACAAGTTTCTACCTCGTCTTTCTTCCACCGAGCGTAACCATCTCGACTCGTTTTAGTTGCATGAATCCGAGGCATCATTGATCCTCGTCATCAGACTGCCCTTCTTAGAGCGAATGGTCGACGACGAGGACAACGTGGTAGTTTGGACACATCCGAACTGGGCAGATTTGAAAGACCGACGTTGTGACTCGGATGCATCCGAATTAGGCCGACCACTAGAGGAGGACATCGGCACGGCGTGTTTTCCTCAATGACCTGTGAGCAGAGGGTGGACCCTATCCTGTCGGAGGTGTGGTTCATATTTATTCGAGACGGAACGGTCTTTTGACAGCGTGTGACTTCGTCGTTCACGTTTATCGCAGCGTTCGGCGTCGTAAATACCGTCTGTGCATGTGACAAATCCCAATATGTCGTCAGTGTGGTTCAGATTAATCCGAACTTCGCAGGGTTGGCTCGGTTAGTGGTCGCCCCGTGAGTTTTAGTGGGTTGTGACTTGGATGCAACTGAAATTACCAAGGGTGGCCCTGTTGTTGCGCCACCACAAGATGGTATGGACAGGGTGGGCTGTCGTCCTCCTGGTTTGTCAAACATGTCGCCGTCGACAATACCCTATGAGCATCTGATCACTCCGTGTCCTGTCCTGTGTCCAAGTCAGCGGAAGGGTTCCTCGCGGCGTTCGGCTGACGCGAGGTTTGGCGGGTTTACAAATTTGAATTCGCGTTCGCCTCCTGTGTCTTCGAATCTGTCGTAGCCGTCTTCGAATTACTGATCTGTGATTGCACTCAGGGGGGGACCAACCTGAGATCGGTTGAGCGACTGTCTGCAATACACATGGATTGGAGAAAGGCAGAAAACCCGCATAGACACGGAAGGGAGACTAAGATCGATAGCGACGTCGACAAGGAGAGGATGCGCAGCGAGAGAGTCTGTCTTTAGCTCTCTGTCTCTCCATGTGCAGATCCTGCGGGTGGTGTTGTCCATTTCGGAATTCGCAATGTGACCCGTTAATAAAACGGCACGAAAGAAATTTAAGAAAAAATTGTTCGTGTCGGCGAGAGGAAGACTGGCGAAAAATTTGAAAAATTGTGGAGGACACTCATCTCGCTCGAAACTCCTTCATCTCTCCCCGATCAGATGGCACACTCACACGTCCGCATGTCATATCCTGAACATGCATGGCCACGCTTATGGACGCGGGGCTATATTGAACCCTCGCATCCATTCTGCTGCCGCATAGAGCCCCTTTGTCCCATTGAGCCCCGCATCCATCAGCGTGGCCACGCTTGTTCAGGACGTGACACGTGGACGTCTGAGTGTGCCATTTGATCGGTGCGAGTGATTGCCAATGAAACGCATGCATTCTTGCTCCGGAAACTCCTTCATCTCGCCCCGATCAGATGACACACTCACACGTCCGCATGTCATGTCCTGAACATGCGTGGCCACGTTGATGGGTGCGGGGCTATATTGGAGCCTAGCATCCATTCTACTGCCGCATAGAGCCTCGCATCCATCAGCGTGCACACGCTTGTTCAGGAACTGACATGTGGACGTTTGACTGTGCCATCTGATCGGGGTGAGTGGTCGCCAATGGAACGAGATCCGCAAACGCACCCCAAGGTAAGTTCGCGAAAGAAACAGGCTAACGCATAAGACGAACGAAATAGAGGCGCTGAAGACAAACTAACGACGGGGACGAAGATGGTAGTTGAACACGACGGCACACACGTCCACGTGTCATGTCGTGAGCATGCGTGGCGACGCTGATGGGTGCGGGGCTCTATTCGACAACATTCTGTTACCGCATAGAGCCCCGCATCGATCAGCGAGCCCACSCTTGTTCASGACCTGCCACATGGACGTGTGAGTGTGCCATCTGATCGGGGCGAGTGGTCGCAATGGAACTAGATTCGCGAAAGCAGGCCGACGGAAAAGACGAACGACATAGAGGCACTGATAGAAAACTGACGAGGATGGTGGTGGAACACGACGCTGTTGGTTCTGTTTCGTTCGTTTGTCTGCGCTTGTCAGTTACGTTCGCAAAATTTGTGCGAACGACACAGACAAGCGCAATGAAACGAACGAGATAAAAGAGAGAAAGAGAGATAAAGAGATAGCGAGAGAGAGAGAGTGCGATTGAGAGGCGATCTCCGCCTTCATCACACATCCCAATCAAACGTCACGATCAAATGGCCCCGAACGTCATAGACTCCCTATCACACATCAGACTCACGGAGAGAAATCCCTGTTGGATCACACGACACTGCTCGTTCGCGGCGACTGAACCCAATGTAAAAGCCACCGCGCAAATCCCGACTACATATCGCGTACATGTGTGGGCATTCTGACGGTCTACGCAAACCCAGCATGGCAGGACTTTTCAGGTAGGTGGAGATGGCGAGAGAAAGAGAGACAGAGAGAGAGAGCGAGAGAGGGAGAGAGACAGAGAAATAGAGAGAGCGAGCGAGCGAGCGAGAGAGAGAGAGAGAGAGAGAGAGAGAGAGAGAGAGAGAGAGAGAGAGAGAGAGAGAGAGAGACAGAGAGGCAGAGAGACAGAGAGAGAGACAGAGAGAGAAAGAGAGGCAAAGCCAATAGAGAGAGAACGACGGGAAGTGAGACAGAGAGAGATGAGAAAGGGAGATAGAATGAGAGAGAGAACACACCTTTTCTTTCCTCGATTTACAACTTTTGTTGGAAACAATGGCCCCGACGACTTGGTTGATGATCTCAAACCGCAATACAACGATGTGTGTCGCGACGCGCGAAAAGGGAGGTGCCGACGCGTGAAAGGGCAAAACCGCGAATGGAGACGTGGGAGATTGCGACGCGAAGGAGATGGCGAGGCAAGGGATATGGCGACGAGGGTGAGAGAGAGAAGCGAGGCAAACGACGGGGGAGACGGCCACGAGATGGCTGTGTCCCTCGGAGATGAGATGGCTGTGTCGCTGGCAAGGGAGGGTGGTCCGGGCGCACGACGGGCATTTTCGACCGTGAGGGTTGGCGACAAATGCGATTGCCTGCTGCTTCGGATGATTGCAATGCCCACCTGCAAATTCGCGGAATGGCGCCACCATCATTCGAAAGGCGGATACATCGAGTGGGGCCCAAGAAACAAAAGTGGGCGGGAAAAGCCACGCCGGATGACGCGTTGGTACCGTCCATATCCCCGTAAAATCCGCGCGGGCCCCGATATTCAAAAGTGGGCGGGGAAATTTGTGCCAGATGATGCGTTGGGACAGTCGATAGCACGGTGAAAAAGGCCAGTCCTCTCGCAATCACGGCCCGCCCTCCCCCGATGGTTTCGGACCGTGCGATTTCGTGAGGAGGGTCCGTCAAAAAAGGGACAGCCTGATGTCACAGCCCCCGACGCGGCAGTACCTGCGGCGGGCAGCTGAAGGGCCCCTCAAGCCCCACTTACTGCACTCTCCGTTCCCCTGTCGGGCACCAAACGAATGGGGGTGGCTGTCACACCCGTTCGCTGGTGTCATGTATTCCGTGTGCTGCCTTTGCGACGCGTTCGCCATCGCTCGAAGTCGCCTGCATCATATCGCAGGCCCCTTGCGCATCCAGGCCATCGTTCTTCCAACAATCGTCGATAGCCGGGGGCGCTAACGAAAACGTCACGCGGCTGTAGACCTTGCGTGTCGTCCCGTTCGCGCTGTGCGTTCTTGTGTTGGCTGGAGGCGTTTGTCGACTCGCAGGTCAGTAAGAAGCCCACGCCCCCTGCTCGACCCCTTCACCATTTCGAGCCCCCACCTCTTCCGATTGCCCTTCCGCTCCCTCGATCGTGCATGTGTTGTTCTCTGCCACCACCTGCTCTGCCAATCACGCACGCACGATCTTGACCGCACAATGCCCATCGATCACAACGACGGAAGACCCCATGCAGTGACACACGCTGACGTCATCATCTTGCACATTACGTCAACGACGGGCAATGGCTTGTGGCTTTCACAGACATCGGCCTCGAGTCTTGGCGTCCTCAACATCGCTTGTTTGCGTCCTCAACATCGCTTGTTGGCGTCCTCACCATCGCTTGTTGGCGTCCTCAACATCGCCCTCTAGTCTTGGCRCCCTCCGTCGACCGCATCTGACGCGTGGAGAAAGTCGCATCGCCCTCGAGTCTTGGCGTCCTCGACATCGCTTGTTAGCACACTTTCTTGGACCCTGGCTTGCGGGTCGTCCTCCCCCAGTCTACGCAGGATATTGCAATGCAGTCGGTCGTGCGAGTATTCTTCTACATCACCGCCTGCTCCGTCTATCACGCACGAGTCGATATGCGCGCGATCTTCACTCCACGATGTCCGCAGCTCACAACCACGAAAGTTCCTTTCCTTTGACACACGCTGACGTCACCATCTTGCGCATGACGTCTGGAATTCGAAATGGTCTGCGGCTTTCCCAGTCTAGATCGTCGGACGCCTCCGACGACTGCATCTGACGCGTGGACGAAGTTTCATCGCCGTTGCTCCCTGGCGTTCTCAAAATCGCGGTATGTGATCACTGCTGCGATAATACATCACCCGATAGACGTCAACACCGGAGACGTCATCTGAAAAACGCGTGTCCATCGACTTTAAGATCCCGTCCATCCATCTCCGGTGTTGACGTCTATCGGACGATCTGTTATCGCAGCGCTGATAGCTGGAAGCCTCACGACAAACGCGCACCTCCAACAGGAATCGCCCATGTCGCACTCACAGCCAACTGTGGCCAAGCCACCCATCCACAATGTTCAGCACAAAGGATACCCATGGCGAATCCGAAATATCCCAGATTACCTCCGATCCCGCGACATCCCACCACCAAGTGCCAACTTCGAGCTCGTTTCCGATCGACTCGGTGATTGAACATGTCTATCGAGGTTGAGGACGACATCAGGATCTTTTTCTTGTTGTCTTGAATGTTCCTTGTCTCATCGCCCGCTCTCGCACACGCAGCTAGCAATGAGGAACCGCCACGCAATCGGGCGCGAGACGCTGGACACGCATCGGCAACATTTTGGATATTGAACCAGCGCTCACAAGTTCCATCGCGCCCACAGGAAAACTTCACAGCACCGCCGCCCGTGCGGCAGCCCGTCCCCTCGCCACGATTCATTTTGGGCGAACTCTAACGTGGACAATCCTCCCGACGTTTGAAGTCTCGAAATCTGAGCTGAATGAACGCACAATGACCTCGTGAAACGATCAGCTCTCGATCCACGCCGATCACATTTCGATTCCAACTAATCGCAGCCTTGTTTTCCAGAGCAGCTTAGGGAGGCGTTCTCGGGATTGTAGCGGGAGTGAGAGAGTGTTTTTCGTGCCACTTGTTCCGGATGGAGTTTGGATTCATCCGATCTCGGAATGAAGGCAATAGTAGATGTCATTTGTGATGCAAGTGGTTGGATGACTATGCCCCCCTTACATCCGACCCATTGTTTACACACAACGTTCCCCCATCGAGAGTTTTGAGGCGACCCCCTTTCCATGACAACCCGCCACTCATGACTTCCGCCGGAGTTCTTTGTCTCCCACGAGGGGTTATGCAATTCTCAGGCTGGTCGTTTTTTGTTTCACCTCACTACGGAACGTGTGATGTAGTTCGGATGAATCCGAACCACAACCCTCGGCTCGTGAGAAGTCTCAACGGGAACCGCATCCCTCCGATGTCTCAGTGGAAGGGACAACGACGGCACAGGGGATCGCTTTCGAAGTAAACATCTCCTGAAATCATGAGTACGATAGCTCCTTATCTGCTTTTGCCTTCGTTTGTAACTCGGATGAATCCAAACCACAACCACAGACGACTGACGGACGGCAGTCGTGGCTTTTGTCAGTGTTTATTTATTCC